CTTCTTCCTCTTTGTCTGAACCAGCAGGAAGTGTGAGTACAGGTCAGTCAGGGTCTTGGGCAGCTCTCCTCTCTGCTCTGTAGTCAACATGTGATCCAGAACTGTAGCAGTGATCCAGCAGAAGACTGGGATTAGACACATGATGTGGAGGCTCCTGGATGTCTTGATGTGTGAGATGATTCTGCTGGACCGCTCTTCATCACTGACTCTCCTCCTGAAGTACTCGTCCTTCTGGGCGTCAGTGAAGCCTCGTACTTCTGTTACCCTGTCAACACGTGCAGGAGGGATCTGATTGGCTGCTGCAGGTCGGGAAGTTATCCAGACCAGAGCCGAGGGAAGCAGATTCCCCTGGATGAGGTTTGTCAACAGCACGTTGACTGATGACTTCTGTGTGACATCAGACACGACCTCATTGTTGTGGAAATCCAGTGACAGTCTGCTTTCATCCAGGCCGTCAAAGATGAACAGAACTTTCCAGACAGCGAGCTCCTCTGCTGTGACCTTCTGTAATGTTGGATGGAAAACATGGAGCAGCTTGAGAAGACTGTACTGCTCATCTTTGATCAAGTTCAGCTCCCTGAACGAAAGCAGAATCACCAGACTGACATCTTGGTTTTCCAAACCCTCGGCCCAGTCCAGAGTGAACTTCAGCACTGAGAAGGTTTTTCCAACGCCAGCGACGCCGTTGGTCAGAACCACTCTGATGTGTCCCTGTTGGTCAGGTAAGGCTTTAAAGATGTGGTGACACTTGATTGGAGTGTCATGGAGGGTCTTCTTCTTGGAAGCTGTCTCCAGCTGCTTCACCTCATGTTGGGTATTAACCTCTTCACTCTGTCCCTCTGTGATGTAGAGCTCAGTGTAGATCCTGTTGAGGAGGGTTCCACTTCCTGTTTCATCACTTCCTTCAGTCACACGTTCACATCTCCTCTTCAGACTGATCTTATGTTCATCTAAAACCTCCTGCAGACCAGCGTCCACTGGAAGACAACAACAAGGCCTCATTATAAATAGTCTTAGTTATACATCATTAAAAAAGGAATGAAAATGGAGGCTGAGATTTTTTTTAAATGTAACGACTGTTACAACACAAGAAGAATCTTGTTTTCAGACATGAAGACATCAGCAGACAGATGGACAGTCTTACTTTGTACAGTGCTGGTCTGACTGTCTGTCTGCAGTCCAGCTCTTGTTCTGGATCTTTGTCCACACTGGGGACAGGAGGAGTCTCCTGATGAAGCAGACTGGTCCCAGTATGAGGTGATGCACTGTCTGCAGAACCAGTGTCCACAGCTGGTAGAGACTGGATCCTTCAGGACGTCCTGACACAAAGCACAGCAGGACAGCTGCTCCTCCACACAAACATCACTCCTCTTCTTCCTCTTCTCTCTGTGGACACAAAGACATCTCTTTTTAAATACAAATCTTTCATGGGTTATTGTAGCAGAACATTTTACCATCACTGTCTGGATGATTAGATAGCAGACAGCTGCCACAACACTCAGGGCCCCATTTTAATCATGGAGGTGCAACAACCAGCACAAACTGGAAGGTGTTGGTCTCACAGAGTCCACCTGCTGTTTTGCTTCATGAACTGTATTCAAACTGAATCTGGACCAGTGGTGACTACACCTCAGGAAATTCATCAAGTCTTTGGATGAAGTGAAATTTTGGATGATCCAGCTCCAGAAGATCAAGTTCAAAAAGCCTTTAAATGAATGAAATCAGGAAAGGCTCCTGGGTCAGATGGTTGTTCTGTTGAATATGAGGTAGAAGAACTATGTTGACATACTGGCACCTACTTTAATACAGGTTTATTCAGAGCTCATGGAAACATGTCAGTTTCCTCCTACACTCAGTCAAGCAGTAACTTCAGTTATCCTCAACACAAGAAAGGACCTGCTTGACCCAACCAGCTGCAGGCCTGTAAGTCTGACAGGTGCTGATCACATGATATTAATGAAGATATTGGCTGTGTGCCTGGAGGACATTCTGCCCGACGATATACAACCACGTCAGGTTGGATTTATAAGTGGGAGCTCGTCCTCTGATAACCTCAGATGATTGCTTCACTTGATGTGGTTAAATGAAGACTTTTGATCAGGTGGAGTTACGTCCTCTGGACTCTTCGGGATTCTGTGCTCATTTCAGTGGTGATACGTATTCATTGAAGTCCTTTTATTTCATGACTTAACTGTAACAACAAGGTTAATGGAAAAATATTGACAACAAAAGTTATGGCACAATTTGCAGACAAACTACCGCACACTTTCTAACTTGTGAAAGAAAGAAATGTATTGAGACGTTTCAGTACGAGACCTTCATCAGGCCAACAGTGGGAGTTCCTCTGCACATTGTGTCCTGCTCGTCTCTCTCCTACACTCCTGGTTTCAAACAGATGTGCAAAGTGTCCCTCTGTTCTGAACAAACACTACAGTGGTCATTACACCCTGACCAGTAAAGACGAGATTAAATAGTTGGATCTGTTCAGACGGAGAACCAAAGTTAGATCTCAGGAGCCATCACAAAGCACTGGTTGTTTCCTTTTGAACCAATGTGTTAGCAATTAGCTTGCCTTGCTACGTTAGCATATTGGTACATTTAACATCTACTCCTCAAAGATGATTTATGATTTCCTACAACTCGTAAACAGACACCAACACATTCCGTATTAATTTTATCTCTAATTGCTGCTGCTATTGTTGTTGTTATTATTATTTTAATTGGAAGGGTTTTTTTTGTTTTTGTTTTGTTTCGTCTTTCATTCTATGTGATTTTATGTGTGGACCCCAGGAAGATTAGCGGCTGGTAATGGGGATCAAAATAAAATAAACAAATCTCATCATTGTTCATCTCCTTCAGGTTGTTGATGGCTCTCTGGATGATTTCTGGACTGTTGTCTGTCCGACCCAGCAGACCTCCTAACAGTCTGTGGTTGGACTCCAGAGAGAGGCCATGAAGGAAGCAAACAAACAGGTCCAGGTGACCATTTTTACTTTCTAGGGATTTCTTCATGGCTCTGCTCAGGAACTCATCCAGAGATGGGTAATGGTCTTCACCATATTCACAGTAATGGTCATCACCATCGTACCATTTTGGTACATTTAACATCTACTCCTCAAAGATGATTTATGATTTCCTACAACTCGTAAACAGACACCAACACATTCCGTATTAATTTTATCTCCATGTAAAGTGAATTAACGTGATGTTTCCCAGCTAACGCTGCACTCCTCTGCCTTAATGACACAGTTTCATCATTTTATAACTGCTGATTTATTAAATCTGAGTCCTACTGAGTGAAACCTGACGCTGAATTCAGCAGCAGACGTCAGGAATATCAGTCATATAAGAGGTAGCAATATAAATAACTTTAGCCATTCATTTTATATGATATGAAAGAAGACGGTAGATACAGTAGATACAGTAGATACAGTAGAGACAGTAGATACAGTAGAGACAGTGGAGACAGTAGATACAGTAGATACAGTAGAGACAGTAGATACAGTAGATACAGTGGAGACAGTAGATACAGTAGAGACAGTGGAGACAGTAGATACAGTAGAGACAGTGGAGACAGTGGAGACAGTAGATACAGTGGAGACAGTGGAGACAGTGGAGACAGTAGATACAGTAGAGACAGTGGAGACAGTAGATACAGTAGAGACAGTGGAGACAGTGGAGACAGTAGATACAGTGGAGACAGTGGAGACAGTGGAGACAGTAGATACAGTAGAGACAGTGGAGACAGTAGATACAGTAGAGACAGTGGAGACAGTGGAGACAGTAGATACAGTGGAGACAGTGGAGACAGTGGAGACAGTAGATACAGTAGAGACAGTGGAGACAGTAGAGACAGTAGAGACAGTGGAGACAGTGGAGACAGTAGATACAGTGGAGACAGTGGAGACAGTGGAGACAGTAGATACAGTAGAGACAGTGGAGACAGTAGAGACAGTAGATACAGTAGAGACAGTGGAGACAGTAGAGACAGTAGATACAGTAGAGACAGTGGAGACAGTGGAGACAGTAGATACAGTAGAGACAGTGGAGACAGTAGAGACAGTAGATACAGTAGAGACAGTGGAGACAGTGGAGACAGTAGATACAGTAGAGACAGTGGAGACAGTAGAGACAGTAGATACAGTAGAGACAGTGGAGACAGTAGAGACAGTAGATACAGTAGAGACAGTGGAGACAGTAGAGACAGTAGAGACAGTGGAGACAGTAGAGACAGTAGAGACAGTGGAGACAGTAGATACAGTAGAGACAGTGGAGACAGTAGAGACAGTAGAGACAGTGGAGACAGTAGAGACAGTAGAGACAGTGGAGACAGTAGAGACAGTAGAGACAGTGGAGACAGTAGAGACAGTAGAGACAGTGGAGACAGTAGAGACAGTAGAGACAGTGGAGACAGTAGAGACAGTAGAGACAGTGGAGACAGTAGAGACAGTAGAGACAGTGGAGACAGTAGAGACAGTAGAGACAGTGGAGACAGTAGAGACAGTAGAGACAGTGGAGACAGTAGAGACAGTAGAGACAGTGGAGACAGTAGAGACAGTAGAGACAGTGGAGACAGTAGAGACAGTAGAGACAGTGGAGACAGTAGAGACAGTAGAGACAGTGGAGACAGTAGAGACAGTAGAGACAGTGGAGACAGTAGAGACAGTAGAGACAGTGGAGACAGTAGAGACAGTAGATACAGTGGAGACAGTAGATACAGTAGAGACAGTGGAGACAGTAGAGACAGTGGAGACAGTAGAGACAGTAGAGACAGTGGAGACAGTAGAGACAGTAGAGACAGTGGAGACAGTAGAGACAGTAGAGACAGTGGAGACAGTAGAGACAGTAGAGACAGTGGAGACAGTAGAGACAGTAGAGACAGTGGAGACAGTAGAGACAGTAGAGACAGTGGAGACAGTAGAGACAGTAGAGACAGTGGAGACAGTAGAGACAGTAGAGACAGTGGAGACAGTAGAGACAGTAGAGACAGTGGAGACAGTAGAGACAGTAGAGACAGTGGAGACAGTAGAGACAGTAGAGACAGTGGAGACAGTGGAGACAGTAGAGACAGTGGAGACAGTAGAGACAGTAGAGACAGTGGAGACAGTGGAGACAGTAGAGACAGTGGAGACAGTAGAGACAGTAGAGACAGTGGAGACAGTAGAGACAGTAGAGACAGTGGAGACAGTAGAGACAGTAGAGACAGTGGAGACAGTGGAGACAGTAGAGACAGTGGAGACAGTAGAGACAGTAGAGACAGTGGAGACAGTAGAGACAGTAGAGACAGTGGAGACAGTGGAGACAGTGGAGACAGTAGAGACAGTAGAGACAGTGGAGACAGTAGAGACAGTAGAGACAGTGGAGACAGTGGAGACAGTGGAGACAGTAGAGACAGTAGAGACAGTGGAGACAGTAGAGACAGTAGAGACAGTGGAGACAGTGGAGACAGTGGAGACAGTAGAGACAGTAGAGACAGTGGAGACAGTAGAGACAGTAGAGACAGTGGAGACAGTGGAGACAGTGGAGACAGTAGAGACAGTAGAGACAGTGGAGACAGTAGAGACAGTAGAGACAGTGGAGACAGTAGAGACAGTAGAGACAGTGGAGACAGTAGAGACAGTAGAGACAGTGGAGACAGTAGAGACAGTAGAGACAGTGGAGACAGTAGAGACAGTAGAGACAGTGGAGACAGTAGAGACAGTAGAGACAGTGGAGACAGTAGAGACAGTAGAGACAGTGGAGACAGTAGAGACAGTAGAGACAGTGGAGACAGTAGAGACAGTAGAGACAGTGGAGACAGTAGAGACAGTAGAGACAGTGGAGACAGTAGAGACAGTAGAGACAGTGGAGACAGTAGAGACAGTAGAGACAGTGGAGACAGTAGAGACAGTAGAGACAGTGGAGACAGTAGAGACAGTAGAGACAGTGGAGACAGTAGAGACAGTAGAGACAGTGGAGACAGTAGAGACAGTAGAGACAGTGGAGACAGTAGAGACAGTAGAGACAGTGGAGACAGTAGAGACAGTAGAGACAGTGGAGACAGTAGAGACAGTAGAGACAGTGGAGACAGTAGAGACAGTAGAGACAGTGGAGACAGTAGAGACAGTAGAGACAGTGGAGACAGTAGAGACAGTAGAGACAGTGGAGACAGTAGAGACAGTAGAGACAGTGGAGACAGTAGAGACAGTAGAGACAGTGGAGACAGTAGAGACAGTAGACACACACAGTGTCATCAAACCCAGTCAGAGCTCTGCTTCTTCTTCAATACGCAGCTCCTGATATAAATATGACATTTAGTGAAATTCAAACCAACAGCAAACATTGATGGAGAGAATCAAACCATCAGCCCTAACCAGTGCAGGTAATAAAGCAAAGGAGAACATTTGGCAGCATGTTATTCAGCAGCAGTGAGCTCACACTGACACAAGTAGAGATAATTCCACTCAACTTTCCTCCACATGAGTCATGTCAACGTTTTTTGTCTGAGAGGAGCTGAAAAGGAACATTTAGACGTGAATGTATAAAATGCAAAATAACATTCAGCCACTTGATCCAAGCAGCACTGCTCCTGTACAAACCACACACTCAACCATCATGTCACACTGACTGTTGCCACGGAAACACAGCTCTCAGATCAGACTAAAGCTGAGGCTGGGCTAACTGTATTAGTTAGTCAAATGGGTCCATGTGAGTGCAAAACTAAGACTGTGGACTCCATGAACCAGTCTGAGACCTTCTCACTGTGAGGAAATGTGTCTGCACTTATTTACAGCAAGCTCTTCATCAGCTCCTCTTCATCACCAGCAGGTGGCAACACAGTCTAAAACAGGAAGTTTGAATGTGGCTCCATCAGCAGAGCAGGCCATCCATTTAGTCTTTGGACACATCTTCCTGTTTAGTGTTTTCAGAGCCGTGACCTCTCCTGAGAGCTGATGATCTAAAACACTGCAGAAATAATGAACAGCAGGTTTTGTTCAACTTTGTATCTACGGATGAATCAAAGTGTTGAGTTCATTCTGACTCTACAGTCCACAGAGACACAACTGACTCACAGACAGTCAAATAACAAGAACCACTCTGTTTTCAGCCTCCTGCTCTGCTCACCTGAAATGGAGTCCACAAAATACTTTAGCTTTCAGGGATGCTCCTCGCTTCCTCACCTACTGGAAATATTGCAATCCATCCTCATTACACACACCAGTCACAGCACCAGTGTTGCTCACTGATGAGTTCGGGGGACACTTCCTGTTTCAGTCAGTTGCCACAGCTAAGACGCCATCTTTGCACGCAGGCACGACACTGCTGATCTCTGACGAACATTATAAGAAGCCTCCTGAGAGAAACAAACCTTTGTTTGTGTCGTTATCCAGATAATAAAGTTTGTTATCTACAGATAATGAAATAATTAACTCTTCAGGCCGTTCTCAGCTTCCACACACACATAAGTTCCAAAGACATCAGAGTTCAGACGGTGTGACGTCATGGCTGCAGATCTGGTGACAAGTTTGGGGGGACACAATCAGTTGTGTTGTTTTTAATTGCACGCGTGCAGATCACGCCCACAGAGCGCTTGAGACTGGCAGCATATTTCAGGATTTCATAGAGGCTCATCACCAAGTCATTCAAAAAGCACTCACAGAGAATCATGTGCTCACCTTTACTGTTAGTTTCTCTGAACCAGCCAATAGTACATGGAGCCAGCCATCACCCTCCTCTTCACTGCTTCACTGTTAGTTAATGCTACTTCTAGTTTCAGGGTCTCAGGCATGTTATGTCCACTCACGTTCTCATCTCTCGCCTCTCACAGATTCCCAGTTCTCCTCATCATCTTCCCTTTCTCCCAGTATATGGGACTACTGTATACATCAGTGGATATGGATGATTATCAATCTGTTAAAATGTTGAATCAGTCGGGTTTGTCAGGGCAGGGGGGCATTCAATAGCCGCTAGGGTAGGGACCTGGAGGCACTGCAGCCACTTTGATGAGGTTACATATAGCACGTCACATGTCTGATGATTGTCTCATGTCATATTTTGTTATGCTTTGTCTGATGTGACATTTTGTCTGGTTGTCTGTTATATTATGTTGTTTTCTGTCACGAGAAACA